TTTCTCAGTTTATTAGATAAACCTAGTGAGTCAAGGAGACTCAAAGAATGTCTGTTTCTAAAAAATACCAACTCAGTGAATCAGCTTTTAAAACACCAAGTTTGCAAGCAATTCCTTGCAGAAAGCACACCCATGCTGCAGACGGTTTATTTTCTGAGTGTTTTCAAAATATTTAAAGAAACAGTAAACAAAGAAGAGACCAACTGTCTTCTGATTTGTTCACAACCACTTAATAGCAGCTTCAGCATTTTTTCCGATAATGCAGTTGCCAAGTGAATAGACAATTCTACAAGCATTTTTCAAAAAGTGAAAGCTCTGAGGAAAAAAGGTCTCTCAAATTACAGCAATTAGTCATTGTAGCAATTTATTAAGAAGGTGGTATCTCAAGTTCTTGCTAGCTTTATTGCTATTTCTGCTAAAAAATAGGGTCTAATTGAAGCATCATTCCAACAACATAAAGTGGTATTTTCATTAGTGTCTTTTGGTACAAAGCTTAAACTCTTTCAGCACGTGTCATTCTGAGCAGTAACCCACTGCCTTTCCTTAGGACTGAAAAAGTTAAAATCACCATTTCCACTGGAATGCCCTAAAAATAATCAGAAAACATGCATTCTTCACAATACAGTGTCATTCGCTGCCAGTTGTTCTCACCTGATCAAAGAGATCTGTACCATCAGTTCCTGCTGCTTTCATTAGTTCATCCTCACCACCAGGATGATATTCCATGTATGGTGTGACATTATATACAAATCCTGAAAAGGTGGAATATAAAAACATGAGCAACATTTCTATGACGCCTCTTATCTCCAAAACCAGTGAAAAGGTTAGCACACATTAAAGAGTAAAGGCAAACACTAGATATTGTCGGAACAAATAGTGTGACTTTGCAAAAACAGAAACATAAGCTACACAATTGTGTAGGGCACAAGAGGTATCTTATACGGAGATGCCAATCCTAAAATGCCATACCACTTATCCCAGTGAATGTCTGAAGATATCTGCTGAGTCAAGATTTCAACCTAGAAGTTGAACATCATGTATCCCAGCTAGGGGGTAAAAGAACCTGAGGCTGGTTTTAACAGAGACATAAAATTGAGCCAGCTAGTGCATGGAATTATTTTCACTCTCCCTTCCAATTAAGTTATGCCTGAATTCTTGTCATAGTTGTTTCCCTATCACCCATCATCTACGGAATAAAATGCCTAAAGGAATAAACTGTCTTCCATAAGGAAAAACTGTCACCATCAGCAAGAAAACTTCCATTCTTCAGATTCAGCAATATAAGAAATTAACATAGCTTATGCTCATTAAAGGCTTGCACCTCTGGTACAAAATCTGTCCCAGTGAAAGGGGTCAGCATTCTTTCTACACTTCCAGAGAGATAAAACAATGTTTCTTCACAGGTCTGAAATGATGAACTCTAATTACTGTTGCTATGCAACCAGGATAATTAGAGCCCGAAAAATTCAGCTATAAATAGATTTAACTACATGTTAACATGATTATTACAGGCCTACCTAGCAGAATAGTTTAACATATTTAACATTATCAAAACAGGAAGCTACCAAAAGTAGAACTATGCCAGTACTTTCAGAAGGAGCTTTTAAGATATTAAGAAGTGCATGTTAATTACATCAGAAGGAGAAATAGGCATTCAGCACTGAGCCAGGGACATACTTGGGACAATCCTAGTTGAAAAGAACAACCATCCCAATCAAAAAAGGAAAGATCTTTGCATATTTTATTGACCTGCTCTTCTGATGGCTGTATTCACTGTGCCATCTTGTGTGCAGCACCGAATACTGCACACAATAAAACACAAGTATCTACAGAGGTAAGACCCCCCAAATATTAGTCAAATTGACCACCAAACTTGCAGAAACAAAAGAAATCTCATTTCTACACTCTTAATGTTTTTTTTAAGTCCCCTGCCATCCCTCTTCATATATAAATTTGGGACACATATGACAGCTTTCTTTGATGATTATCATATTGGATTTTTGATCAAAGTTAACTCTGTTCTTGTTTTACTTCACATTCTTCTCATGAATTTCTGCTCTTTAGAGACACAGTCTAACTATGACTGCAGAGACCTCATTTAGCTTTTACACAATTATGTTATTTTAGTACTTGTCCACATATGAGGTCTACAGATAATCTACCAGTATTCTCAGTTACAATGTTTTTATATTAGTCATCTGAGAACAAAGGAAAAGCAGAGATGGAAAAATTTAAAGAAAGATACAGAAGCAGCTCGACAGAGTTCTTGTGAAAACCAACCTTAGAGATGCATTCAAGGAAGAATATGAGACTAAAAACAAAACAAAAGCATTTTAAGCAGTAATTCTGTCTGCAGTAGTCCATGTCCCTCTGTCAGAGAGAAAAATTAACAGATCTCCTTACTAAACAAGCTTTCTTTAGCTCTCCTCCTACTATAGCTTTGCTAGCACGTACAAGAGCAGCACAGACCATTAACAATCCTATTATTTTGTCCAAAGGACAGTACTGAATGACATTTTACCCTTACTTTCACGCTCATCCCCTTTAACACCCAACAAAAACAGTCACCCTCCAAGAGAAATTCTTGACTGCCTTCTGCTGAAGTTCAGCCATGACATTACATCAAATATCAATGCTGTTCCTTACCAGATCAAAGCTACCACTAAAAGAACCACTCTTCCAACAGAAATGTCACATTAGCTGTGCTGATCCTCTTAATTGTGCTGTTATTTCCTAACAAATTTAAGGTGGTATTAATGTATTTTAGCCTCTAGATTATTAAACTGGAGAGCAAAGATTTTACTCCTTTCTGTAGGACAATTAGGAACTCATTTGCAGCCCTGAAAATACTCTTCTAGCCACAGCTATTGCTCCAGGCCATCTTTTATCCACTGTTAACTTATAACACTTCCCACTTTTGAGCTAATATTTAACTAAAATAATATCATAAATAGAAGAGCATAGTTACAAAGATATTTGTTATGCTAGGTAGGTTACAACTGCCTTACATGGTAACTGTCATTTGCATTGCTAAGTTTTATGAAGCAGTGTGTGGGCCTTGCACAATTATTTTCCAAAAACCACTCTACTGGTTTAGGCAACATTTTTAATATTTATATATATTTGGATGCTTTAAAGTAATCACTAAAACCAATCAACTGCACAAGATAATAAACTGTCCAAGACTGAGGAGTGTAACTACATGCCAGCATTTTCAATGCCTTATTCTTGCTAAGCCCTTGTTATTTGATGCATTGCCTACAATCTTGTGTTTTATCACTTTCATATGCAAATATAAAATAGGTATTAAATATGCCCACTTGAAACACTTCTTATGAAAGGTTTGAAAGCAAAGAATATCTTTGTGATACAAAATCTCCAAGTCAAACAGAGTTGTGTCCAATTATGTCCAGATTACACCCGGCCTAAACACTGAAGGTGAATAGTTTGGGTTTGGGTATGGCTTTTGTTGTTGTTGTTAGGGTTTTGTTGCTTCTTCTTTAAGTACAGAAAAGGGAAGCTGGGTAACAAATGCAGAAGCAATATCACAACAACCAACCTCTTATACATATCCAGCAGTCCTCCTTTTTGTTGTGCTTAGCGAGCTCATCTTCGGTCACTTCAATCAGCCTCCCTTTCAGACCAGTCAAGTCCTTCCCACTTTTAGTTAACCGAATCCAATCCATAAGACTCCTTCCTGGTTTTAAAGGTACCTGAAAAATAACAAATGTACAAACATCACTAAACTCTAAAGGAAGAAAAAGCCATTAAATACACTCTTCTAAGCTCCTTAGGAGTACTCAGACAAAAAGGAAATAACCTAACTCATATTATTCATTGATATTTGGGAGCCCTACTCAGTAGTAAGGGTGCTTAAGGAAGCGTTCTGGGTAGTAACCCAGATAAAGAAATTATTGAACATCACCAAACATTCAGACTCTTCCCAAAGCAAACTGAAGATACTAAGTCTGCCCGCATCAGTAAAAATTTTTTATCAGCATCATTTTGAGATATGGCCTGGAAACCTACAAGCAACAAAGAAGGAGAATTCGAAAATCATGATAAGGTATGACAAGGTTGGAAAGTTCACTTTCACAGCATTCACAAAGACTTTCCCCAAGCCCTAAAGCTACTGGAAAACTCACCCAGAGAAAGCTGTGACTAGTAGCTTACCAGAGGCCATGGCCTGCCCTGAAAAGCAGAGCAAGATCTTCAGGATGTTTAACAAGTGCCTTTTCAACACCACCACTGACTGTGAACCCCTTTGATCCAAACTTTAACAGCAGAAAACACGTTTAAAGAACCCTGGTCTTACAAAACTACAGGAAAAACAGAAGCGAAAAAACCCTATAGCATAGACCCACACCGCTTAATACTACTTCAGTCTAAGTACAAGTCTGTTGTCCAAGTGAGGTCTGCAGACAACAAGTGTTCTCAAAACCCCCCCAAGGATGAAGACTCAACATATACAGCATAAGCTGCACGCAAGAATTCCAGCTGAAAGTCTCCATCGCTGCACAGGGCAAACAGCCCGGGCCGGTAGCGCAGGAAGCGTTACCACCACCGCCTTCAAACGAGAAATACCAAGTGTTTTCCAGCGGCATGGCCGAGCTGGCCCTTCATCCGGGGCCCTGCCGCGGTCCCTCGGCGGCTGCTGGAGTACGAGACCGCTCCAGGGGAGTGTCCGGCGCTAGCCGGGAACCGACCGGCAGCCAGCACAGCCCCGCCGGGCGGGGCCAGGCCATGCAGGCGGCACCAACGCAGGAAAAGCGCTGGGGCCCTTCACCACCCCCAAAGCGACGGTCGGCGGCCAGGCTGCCCCTACCTTGCTGCGGCCGCCCGCTGCCGCCCGCTGCTGGGAGCCGGGCGCGGGGAAAGCCGGCGGCGGCACGTTCAACATCCTGCCGGGCCAGGCCGCGGCCGGGCTCCCGCGGCCGGGCGGAGCTCCGGCACAGCGCGCAGGCTCCGCCGCGCCGGGCGGGGCCGGGGCCGGGCGGGGGTCAGGGATGGCCGGGCCGCGATCGGGGCCGGCAGCGCTGGCTCGGGGTCGGATCGGTGGAAACCGCCCGGGGCTGGACATTTCTGCGGGGAGGGAGCGGCGTGTATCGAGTACACGGCCGGGGGTTGCCTCCCCTCTCTCTAAAGTTGGCTTTACGTCCAGGTCTCCCAGCGCCAAGTGCTCGAGCTGGAAGGTTGTCGTGACTGACACGGCTGCTGCTGCCCACGCCCTGGAGGTTAAATGCTGAGCCCGGCTGTGTATGAGGGCCCGATTCGTTCCTGCACCGGGTCCCTTGGGAGCAGATGTGATGGGGCAGCCACTCCAGCGATGTTGTTGGCACACTGAGCCAGCCCCGCCTGCAGCGACACACGCAGCACTCAGGCAAGAGTATATCCAGGTATGTACACAAGCTCTACCTGACAGAGGCACTGGCGTTCAAGTTAAAATTTTGGATTTTTGTTGTTGTTGTTCTTTTAGGGCCTTTGGCCTTCGTGATGACTGGTACCAAACTTTGCTTCAATAATTAAAACCAAACTCACAATAGGCCTTTTTCTCATTTCTTGTTGTCAACTTCACAAAAAAAATGTAGTGGGAAACTATCGTGTATAACAATACAGTACATGAACATGAGGGTATGAATGACTTAAGGCAAACACCTCCTTCAAAAATCGAAACCTAGAGTAGAATTTGGACTCTTCTCTCCATTTAGAAAACAGCTATATTGTTTCTCTTCTCCATGTTTGGAACTCTGTTGTAACAGCAAGCACATTAGAATACTTAATCCAATGATTCCTTGATACACTTCCATATGGAGCCTACTAAATCACCATGAAAAGCTTTCCCTGTGTCCTCAGACTTTGAGAAAGTCAAATAACCATAGAGCCCTTTAAAGCAAGGCATCTGTTCTCTGCTCCTAAAATTGGTGTTCAGGTTATGGTCTACAAAACATAGAATGTTAGATAAAAATACTAATCAATACATTCCCTGCCTAGACCAGGACCAGAACAAAGGAAAAAGCTCAGTTAAATTATAAGACATCTCAGTTTTATTAAGAATAACTTACATAGAAATAAATTATATTTAAAAATACTATAATACATATTTATATTAAGTTTAAATTAAGTCTTAGAAGTGGCATTGGCCTTCCCTGCAATCAGCAATCTGATTCTGTTCTTGATTCTTGTTCCAGTTCATCTTCATCATCTTCACTATCTGAGTCTTCATAAAAGGAAATTGTAGCTTGAACTGGAAAGTTTTTCAGAAGTGCTTCAGCTTCCTGATACAAGTAATCATAGCATCTTGATTTGGGCCAAAATAGTCTGAAACAAGTATACAACAGATTTGCTTATTTTTATTACATACTTTATGTGGTAGCTGGCAGGTAAGAAACCAAAGTGAAATTCTGTTAAGACAAGCATCCTACAGAGCTTTTCCTCATGTGGTCAATTACTAAATCACTTTCTACATATGATTAGGAAAAAAAAAAACAAACAAAAAACATTCCCTGGATTCTGTATTTTCATCTGAAGACATAAAGATGCACTCGAAGTGCTAGTTTTGCAGCAAAACTACCCTAAAGCCCAAGATCCACCATATGCGAAATTTCACACTCCAGTACCTCATTAACAGTATTACAGATTCAAGTAGTACTGCCCCGACTGGAACTGTTCCTAGGGAATATAGTGAGTGTCAAACAGAATCCAAAATATATTTGGATTAAATTAAGAGTTTTCTTAATGAAGGTCTCCAGCCTAGATAGTTGTTTACAATGGTGTGAAACAAATCCCGAACTGAAAGGAAAGATAAAGGTCTAGGAGTGATCAGACCTTGATATTTCCAAGAAACTCCTTATGGAAGAATGCCCCATGGATCTAGATTTTAAAGTAGTCTGTGTTGTATCTAGAAACTAACAAAAATTGGTGATATAGTTGACAAGGGCTATCAGCTAGTGATAATATATTGCAATTAATATACTCCATACCTCCTGTTCCTTTTCAACTAACATCCTCTTACTTACAGTTCGGAAATAGCTAGAAGAAACAGACCATAGAAGTCCCATGAGCCAAGAGACTAGCACACTGCAACATAACGAAATGCTGACTACAGATTGTTTATAATAGAAATGCTTAAAGATACAGAACTAGACAGCTTTCTAGCCATCACAAGAAATACTTTCTAGGCTACTGTTTAACAGAACGCTGCTTTCTTTTCAGCACAAAGTAACTGACACCAGCTTTGTAACGTGTTAGTCCCGGTGTTCCCTGCAGCAGAATTCACGCATACCTAAGTACTGGAGCAGTCACAGTGAAGTAAGCCTGTGCAATTGCTTAATCTGTGCATCAGTATTTGAAGGATCAGAACCTAGATTTGGGAGAAAGCTGCATCTTGTCTGGAAGAATTACCTGTGCAATTACTTTAAGCGTCTCTTGACACCTATTCATATTTCTGAATATAGACTCTCCTGCAGATTCAACTGTAGTTATTTTCATCATTTCCTTTTCAGAACTGACAGTGCAGATACTATCATTACCTTCATCATTAAAGCAGTAGTTACACAAGTATTTTCCTTGGCAATGGTTGCTTAGCCAGTCCATACTCTCTGCCTGCCACTCTCTCCCGTGCCTGTGTACCTGCTTCCTTGGTCTGTGAGGGCGCTGAATGTCTGCACAGCAAGACAGCCTAGGGAACTACACCGCCGTTCCTTTTTTAATCCTGGGCCTAGAAATGAGTAGCTGGCTTTAGCCAACTTCACCACCACAAAAAAATGCCCACATAACTGCGTAGCACGTCAAGTCCCGCACCACAGAAGCACATCAACACCTCAAAGATGTTAAATTCACAAATGCTGGCAATCACTTGCCCAACGACCAGTCAGTGCAAAAGCACATAGATGGCCAATTCGCTCCCAAGGGACTTTAATACCTACATAAATATATGGATGGAAACAAAAGGGGCGGGAGATCGAGTGGTACGGCACTGCGCTGCCGAGCGAAGGACTCTCCTCCTGGCCGCGCAGCGCCAGCGGGCCCCGTGTGCCCAAGAGCTCCCCCGCGGAGACCGGCGGCGGCCCGAACAGCCACTTACCTGACGGGGTGCGTGTACTGCGCCACTTTTCGGGAGGCGTCCGCCAGCCCGCCGGGGCTGTGAGGCTGAGGAGGAGAGAGCAAAGGTCAGCCCTTCGGCACGGCACAAGGCCCACCCCGAGCATCCCCGCCCCGCCGGGACTCCCCCGTCGTTCCTGCGGCGATGCCGGCGGCAGAGGCTCCGCCTCGCCCCCGCCACACTCACCGCTGCGGGGCCGGGGCCGCTCCGCGGGGCCGCCTCGCCCGGCGCGGGCAACCATGGTCTCCAGAAGGGCGTCGGGCTGCAGGGCAAGGGCAGGGCCGTCAGGGCAGGGCCGGGCCGCCCCCCGCACCGGGGGGAGGAGGAGAGGGGCGAGTACCCCTGCGGGGGCAGGGCCACCGAGAACGGGCGGGGGCAGGCGCACCCCACGCCAATACCGTCCATCCTCTGCCTGTCCGCGGCCGCTCGGCTGGCCCTGCCGACTGCGGGCCCGGAGGCTTTTATAGCCGGTGGCGGCGGGCGCTGCGCGGCGCGGAGCCCCCACCTCCCCCGGCTCATCTGCCAGCGCCATCCACAAAAAGGCTCCGCGCGAAGGCGCCGCCGTGTAAACACGGAGCGTGGGCGCGTGCATGCCCCAAATGGCCCGGGAAGGGGAAGCGGGGGGGGGGGGGGGGGGGGGGGGGCGGGGTTAATCGCACTTGAACAGACACATGGCAGCTGCCCGGGGGCGGGAGGGGGCAGCCCCTGTGGGAACGGAGCGGGGGACGGCACCGGGGACGTGCTCGGCCGCTCTGTGCCCCGGCGGAGCGGCCCGGCCGCCGCCAGCGCGGCCCTTTGTTGTTCAGCCCGTGTTTGTTTATGCCCTGAAGCAGCGAGGCACGGCGTGTGGGCAGGGAGGGCACTGCGGCTCGCCAGCCCGGGTGAGGGCAGCGCCAGCTGCTCACCGCGGGAGCGGGCACGGACAAAGGGATCTCATCCCGGGGTGGCGGGGAACATGATATCTTTTGGAGGGGTCCTTCCTTAATAACGCGTCACCCGCCGGTACGCTCCCTGACGCGTTCTCCCTAAAACTACATTGTTTTCTTAGTTAGCATGGTGGCTCTTTACATACATGCATACATACACACACACACATATATATAGGGTATTTTTACAGGGGGAATGTTCTTTCCTTTATTCTTTTTCACGTGGTCCCAATATTTCATTCCGCTGCGAGCATCAGACGCTGTCACTACACATGCCAGGTTTTATGCCAAGCTCCTAAGATTTCCATGTTCCCTGGTACCAAGGGAGCTTATTTTTGTTTCTATTTTTATTTATTATTTTTGTTTCCCCTTTTCTTTCTGAGATTGCAATCAGTGATGCATGTGACGGGCAACAGAAACAACAGAGTTACATAAGAGCTGGTAAACAGTACTGAGGCACTCTTTGGGACAATATTTTGCCTTTTTGAGTGTAGCCATAAGGAGTGTGTGTACCTTAGCACTGCCCAAGGATAGCTGCCAGGTGACTTGTGCCTCCTCCACAACATCTTCTGCACAATCCATTTCACTTAATAGTAGCAGCAGTACCAGTTGTAAAAAAGTTACATATTAGAAGCTGTATGGGAAATGTAATCAGGGTAATCTTTCAAATCTTTAAGTCAAAACCAGATGTAAACTGAATTGCCTTTTTGAAGAAAAGCAGCCGCTTACTTTGAAAGAGAATTAGTTGGAAGAGTGCACGCGTTCAAGCTTGTGCGTGCTGTGATATACTCCAGCTTCATCAGTGGACATATTCTGTCACTTTGGAGGTTTCTGCCACTTGACTGCTTGGAAAAATTGATAATTATGACTTTCAGAGTTATTAAAGGAAAATGTATTTTCTGTTAAAAAGTCCAGTTTAGTAGGACATGTGATGTTTGTAGCTGTTTGCATTTTTCCCTGCCTTGTTTTCTCTGTGGCATAGAGTCAGATTAATTAAATTCAGAGTGAACCAGTGGCTCAAACACCAGTAAATATTCCTCTTACAGTTAAGAAATGGAGAATAGTGCAGAGTAAAGTAGCTTGTGCATTACACTGAATGTGATCATAAGCAAAATTGTTTCTATTTTTCCTCTTTTTCCATATAGCTACTGCAAAGCCTTGTCAGATGAGGTAAACCATAAAACAAATGTTTAAATGCTGTCTGATGGTAGATTCTTCTTTGACCTAAATGAAGTGATGCAATAACTTTTATATTTTATATTTCTCTTTTGAGAAATGTAAGAGAGGCTGTATAAGGAAAAAAAAAGAAGCAAGGTTCAATGTCTAGAGAAGGAAAGCAGAAACATCCTCTATCACAAAGGACTAAGAGAACACATCAGTTTTATCCGTTTGATAAAGCATAAAAATTAGCTTCGATGTCTACAGTAAAAGCAACAAAAGACAGGGTGTCTTTGGCCAATGACTCTTAATTGTCTCAGGACTCTTTTTAGTACCTGCCTTACATGAGAAAATGTCCTAAGGAGAAAGTGTGATTTACCCATTAGAGGGCAAATTGAAACAGAGGTGTTGAAAGGATAAGGAGAAAATAATGACTGACAGCTGTTGTTCCCCTGCATATTTTCACACTGTCTTCTTGGCTTTACAGTTCAGTAATGCAGTCCTGTTTATTGAGAGAAATAGAAAAGTCTGTCATTGCATTAATAACTTATTCTCATTGACACCATAAAAAAACCCAACTCCAAATCTTAACATTTTGCTGTCTTCCCCCGACCTTGACATATAGGCTAGAAACTGGCAAATCAGGGATAGAAGATGCTTTGTCTCTTTTACAGTTTGTGCACAAATCAACCGTAACAGTGTATTGGTAAGTTACTATCCGATCCACAGTTTCATCATGCTAAAATGTCTGTGAGGAGATAGGCTACGTATACCTGCTGAGCAAATAGTTAGACAAATGGGAGTGCTGGGACACACTTAAAACTGGTTCTTTGCATATAGTAGTGGTATGCATAGTGCTGAATTCAACATGAAGTCTGATAGAGGTAGTCCCCTCATGCATGTTCTTGACTCTTCTAACTAAAGCAATATTTCCCATTCTGTGCCTTAGTTCCTGCTTTTTTGAATTTCAGCTTTTTAAGAAAACTCCAAGTCCAAGGTTGTTGTTGGTTGCACCTATGTAACTAGACTACCTTTAGTAAAGCAAGGCTGGGAGTCAGGATCTAATACACTTTGCTTCAATTATACTGTAATGAAAACTGAAATATTATGTTATATAGTTTTATTTACTCTCTTGTGGAATAGTAAAAATATCTGGGCATTCCACCAGTTATCAGCTTCTTGAAAATTTCTCTCAAGATCATATAGTTTTGAAAATTTCCTTATACCACTTTCCAAGCAGGTGATAGCTGGTCATTTATGGGGTTCAATCCTGTTTAGCCACAGTTGAATTTTTATAGGGATGCAATTGAAGACTTTCAAATGCAGTACAAAAAATTCTAGTACAGTCACTCTGAATTTACAGCAGTAGAACTAAAACCCAATTTTGTTTTCTCAGAATTATACCAAGCAGTATTTATCCAGAATGAAAGTAATTCACTTGATTATGTTTAGATTGATTAAAAGTGCTTTTGTGGCTTTCTGCAGTATGACATCTTGAAATGTAGTGCACTGTTAATAGGATACACAGAAGAGCAAACACAGAGGTCTGTGGAGATTTCAGTGTGCTACTATAAACAAAGAAGGTGTTCACAAATGGCTTAGAGCTAAATTTGACAAGACAGTGCTAATCACACTTGGACATGGGAATATCTGGACAGAGGACACTCAGATGGCTTTATATTCACCTCTCTGAAAGCAGAGCAAACTCTCACTAATAAAGCAGGGAAATTATTGCATGAAATTATTGTATGAAAATTATTGGATGAGTTGATATAGGGAGAGGATTGGCTTGATCTTGTTAGAACTTTGTTTTAGTGGAGAAAAGCAAGGTCAAACGTGGAACTGCTCCTCTATTTACTGAGACTGAACTGAGAAAACTGATTAACTGAAAAAATTTGATCTTGGTTATGTTATAGCCTAGCTTCATCTTGATGCTTTCACTTTTGGCAACACTTCAGGACCAATTTTTGGAAAATAAGTCTAAGCCTGATATTTGCATATCGATATTGGCTGTGCACGCATATGTCATTTATTTACACGTTTGGTCTGTTAGCTCATAAATGGATCATTTTTTTGCCACTAAAAACAAATTTTGCATAGGAACTTTATGTGCATAGCTTTGGTAGATGTTCATCTGTGTGCAATTATGAACACTTTACTGAAAACTTTGCAATGGTGTGTTATGAAGCCTCAAGCATTTTTTAGTTGTGATATGACATGTATGGCATTTTTTCTGCTATGGTTTCATTCAACATTTCCACAAAATGATGTTTTTGGTAAGTAAATAATATGAGACCCAAACTAGATCTGAAGAAATAAAATAAATACAAATTAACTTTTCTTATTTAAAAAAAAATTAAAGGAACAGAACTTAATCAGCAGATTGGTCTATTCACATTACCAATGATACCAATGGCTATAAAACTATTGCTTGGCTAATAAAGCCTGGGCTCATCCTATTGCTGTTGTGTATTTTTTCCATCCTATTTATACACAAAAATGCAGCACGTATTCAAAGAGTGTAATTCCACTTAAGCCCAAGTGCCATGTGGTTCCTACAGAGGGATATGTTTGGAGACCTGAAGATGAAATGCTCTTTCATGGGCACATCCATTTCACTTCACCTCGTTTCTCCAGATTTTGACTAGGCTGTAATAGTATTAAACATCCTTCTTTCATTTTATAGAGAAAATTATTTTTCCCCTTCCTCTGTTCAACTGAAATACTGGAAGGAAAACTTTGTGAAAAGGAGGGATGCAGTTCCAGAAAAGCACATATTTTCATCCACTCTTTGTTATTGGCAACCTAGCTCCTGGTAACAACACTAGAGGATTCAGGAGTGAATGGCCACACTTGAAAGAGCACAGCTCTTACACTCTGCTCTGTCAACAAGACTGAAAACCTCCAGCTTTCCTAGATTTACCCCAGTCCTGATGCTGTTATAAACTTTGTGGTCAGGTGACCGTTGGTATCTGCTGGGGGTTGAGCAATGGGTTTGTGTTTATGGCACACGCACAGCTACTTGAAACCCCCACGTGTCCATGTGGCAATGTGTGACTGCACACAGCAAGTTGGGCTTCCTCATTTCCCTCCCCCATTGCACTCCACTCCCAGGCCCAGGCTGGCAAATGGTAAGGGACAGTGTATCCACATTGGAAAGCAACACATCAAGGGACTGATAATGTGTAATGGAATCAGCCACCAGTTACAGGGATCTTTCAAAAAAATTAGAGTATCACTTGCTACTGAGTTATGGGCACTTTAAATTCCATGCACATAAGAAAGAGAGACATCAGTGCTGAACACCAACCTTGTTAAGCTCTTTTAATAGAATAGGAGTCAGTGAAACACTGATACATCATTGATGTCAGCACTCAGCAGAAGTGTCTGGCTGCCTCAGCATAATGCAGCATAATGTCACAGTGTTTGCTGCAGTTGGAGCACACAGTCCAGGATTTGTCCTCTTGCCTCTGGAAGTAAGTGAGAGGCAGCCAAATGAAATGAAGTCAACAGCTATTGATAGAAGAGATGAAGAAATTAAGATAATCCCTGGAATGTCCTGATCTCACTCTGGTAATACAGTCCCTAGCAATGTCATTTGTCCTCTCACAATGTTCCATTCAATTAACTGTTTCTTCAGATTTATTGCTTTCCTGGCTACAAAGATAGTAATGGAAGCAGAGTGGTTGTTTTTCAATTTCCCTTGTCTCTCCAAGCTATCAGCACAGCATCAACTTTCCAAAAGGATACATACCACTAATCTAGTGATGTATATAATGCAGTATTTAACCTCTGGCAGGAAGGAATGAATGGGAAGAAACAGAGCTGTACCTCCGACAAACAAGCACCTGAGAAAGGTGATATAAGTCCTAAAGATAAGCAGTGCCAGCCCTGAGGAGTACACATGGTGTCTTGTACTGCACTGCAGGGATGTCAGAGCTCTCATGCAGGCGCCCAGAGATAAGCGCTGACAGAGACTCCCTAAGTCTGCAGTTCTCCCCTGGCTTCTTGTGACTGATGTTACAAGGCTGCCAATTCCATCATGTCAGAATTTCAGCACTTCTTCATGGCATGCTCACATCTCAGGGATCCTTAGTGGTAACACTGAGCACGAGGAATAGACTGGTACAGGCTGCTAGTCTGCCTGTTTAAATGAAGATGCAGATAAATGGCAGAGGTACCAAGGGTAAATATTAGTGTCACTTATTGTTAAGGCTGCTTATCAGTGCCCTTAAAAATCACAATTTCCATTGCTTATAATTCTCCAAGTTTTACTTGGGCTAAATTTTCTTGTGGTAGGAGAATTAGTTTGGGGGGAAAGTACAATCAAAATAAGACAGCTCAAATCATTGGGCCATTTTCAAGGATCATAGAAGGGTTTGGGTTGAAAGGGACCTTAAACATCTAGTTTCAATTCCCCTACCATAGGCAGTGATGCCACTTATTAGATTAGGTTGCTCAGGGTCCCATCCAACCTGGCCTTGAACACTTCCAGGGATGGGGGAGAAATGGTAGAAACATCATATTGCAACATGAAAAAGTTCCAGTCCTTTTTTGGGGGAGGAGTAGGCTCCAGCAGATAGGGGGAAGGGCAGCTTCAGGCAGCTTTATGTTTGAGCAAGCAGATTGGACCAAGTCCCCAGTAGGCAGTGGAGAACAGGAAGAGGGAATGAGTAGGACAAGTCACCAAGGAGTAAGTTTGCAGAAGCAAAGCAAGAGTGACTGACACAGGAGCTGGCAAAAGAAAGCATTGAGCATGGGAAGGACAATTTGGACTGGAAAAGAGTAAATTGGTGATGTCAGTTAGCAATAGGTTCTGTGAAGAGGGAAAGATAGATGGAAGGAGAGACTGGGAGAGAGAAATAGCATTAAACAAGGTAAGAAAATAGGTGAAGGACTGAGGACAGGAAGAGCTCCAAGTGCCTACAAATGGAGGAAAGACTGGGAAAACAGTCAGAAGGCTTGAGACAGGTTCTTCCTAGTGAAGGATATTGGGCCTGGATATCTTGGTCCCAGAGGTAGTCTGAAGAGAGGAGGTTAGAATTTGGGACTGGTTAATAAGAAGTGAGATGAAAAGCCAAACTGGGAAGATACATGACTAAAATATTAGTAGATTTGAGGGAAAGGGAGAGAGGAATGGAGTTGGGAAAAAAATAGGTATAGGAGTTGTAGCCCCAATGTATACCTTCCCAAAGCCTATATGGACCTCTGGAGACCCTGCTCTGGCAAAGCCTGAGAAACCTGCTGGCAAGGTCTCATCACCTTCTAGATATGAGGCTCCTGACTGCACTTGAAATTAATGAGGATCGTGCCTTAAATGCAGTACTATATAATTCAAAGCTATGGAAAAATGAGATCCTCTTTATCTCAAACTGGCCAGCCAGGTTTAAAGAGCCTTTTTGATATTAGTTACCTGGGTATAAAATGGTAGCAGTAGTCCCTAGAGGCTCCATGAAGTCTGTTAGTTAATGCCTTCAGCCACCATGGTTACTGGCACTGCAGAATCTTAGAATCATAGAATGGTTTGGGATAGAAGGGACCTTAAAGATCATCTAGGTCCAACCCTCCTGCCATCAGAGCAGCATTTTGAAATACTGTCTGCAAGTTTTTGCTATGCAAGAACCGTCAGAGGGTGAAGACTGTGCAGAGAACAACTGATATCTTGAAAAGCCGTTCAATACATTCTCATCAACTGTTCTGGGCACCGGGAGAGGGAAGGGACTTGGGAAAAACAGAAGATGATGGAGCCATTGACTGCCATAATGCATATACAGGTGCAAACTGAATTTAAGTTGCGTAGACAACCAAAGTTCTGGCACTTTTTTAACCTTCTGGTGCTCTCTATCGCAGTCCTAATAATGTTTTGACACACGGTTGGCTGGGAGTGTGAGACAGATGCATCTCTGGTATATTTTATCTGGAGATTTTGCCCAAGATCCTCCCCTTTTTAATTTCTTTCAAGAGCTTTTATGCATGTCTTTATAGGCCCAAACTTTATATTCAAGATATCACTATCAAAACATAGATATATCAAAATATTCAATATATTTTATATTGAGTGGAAAACTATGAGGTACAATGTTTGGGTGGGCCTCCCTGGTGGTCTAGTGGTTAGGATGCGGTGCTCTCACCGCCGAGGCCCGGGTTCGATCCCCGGTCAGGGAATTCCCCCGGGCAGATGGAGCTCGTCAAGCCCTGTAAGGGCATCCATCTAAGAGAAGGTCACTCTAAACAAACCTACGTCCTGAGGACCTCACTGCCATTGTCCAAGCTCGCTTGGCCCCGGTAGATGAACCTTAGGATTAAAGGGTGGGCTCAGTTCAGCGCAGGCTGTGTCTCACCTAAAAAATCCATTGCGCAGGCTGGAAAGGTAAAAGACCTTTCCCAAATCTTCGTTCGCGAAGACTGGCCATACAATGTTTGGGTTTGATACAGATGCTCAGGTATGGTACACAGGTAAAAATTTCAAAGTAGATGATAGCAAATTTTGTCTGATAGGAATGAATTTGTCATTTTTAAAGAACTTGAACACTATCACAATGTTTTTAAAGCTGCATCCTCAATATTGGAATCACCTTCTTCTGCTTAACATGTTATTGATTTCTTTCCTCTTTAACCTATAGCCACATTCTCATGATCACACATTACATTCCTGTACTCACAATATGAAATTCACAATATGAAAGACAGGATGGCAAATAAGTGTGGTATCACATTATTAAAAATTTTTCCTGTCTTATCTTTTAAATTTTTTCCTGACAGATTTTTTTCATTAGTACGCTTTAAGAATTCCACAGATCCCACTTTCCAAGTTACTGATGTGGCTTTACTCTGTGAAACAGAAGTTTCTGAATAATTAGCATTTTGTTAGTCAGCCAAGTACCTCTCTTGCCTCCAGGCATTGCTGCAGCGTGAGTAAAACAAAAAAAATAGTCCAAATTTTTCCATTACATTTGCCTCCCATCTTCTTCAGCTGGTTCTTTCTCCAAAATAACTGTCCATACCATATAATTTTTTGTTGTTGTTATTGAAATACTTTGTGGATATAATAGACATTTAAATTTTTGCTGTTTGTATTTTCTTAGCTTCACAGAATTTATATTTATCTCTACCTCTAGCTATATTTATATTTATATTGTGAAAATGTATTTTATATAAAACATGTATTATATAGAAGAATATAGATACTCTTACCATCCCAGAATATATATATACTTATATATATATACTTATATCTGTATACCATGACTATATATATATATATATATACATGAAATACATATTAAAGTAATTTTAACCCAAATATATATGACTTAGTTGGAAAGTGACAAATAGCAAATCCAAACCTTGTCAGATGTATTTTCCTAAATACAAATTTTGAAAAATATATTTTTTTTTTTTAAATGGTGCTGCTATTAAGAAGAAATGTAAAACATAAAGAATTTTAAAAGTGTTTTCCAGCTAAAATGCAAAGCTAATAATGGAAATTATTACCTTGGGAATTTATTATCTCAGCACTGCGAGAGATCTTTCATATTGCCTGTGACATTAGCATTTGGCAAATACTCCAAAATAAAAAATTGTTTGACGTGTGCACCAAGTGCCCTTCTGTCTAAAATGAGTATTTTAAATACATTGAAGCACGTATATTTAATGCTGGGTTTGTTTATGTATTTATTTACCGACTTACATAGAAAGGATTCAGAGGACATGAATATGGAGTGCTAGGCATAATTTTCACAAATATTAAGTGAATGTTCTGTTAAAGCAACTTTTATATATATATACATTCTAAAGTACCTTGTTCAGATAAAGTATTTTTCTTTGAATGTGTACATATATTAGTATATATATATGTATTCATATATAATTTTCATTATATATGAAAACCAGGGCTGTGTACTTACTGCAGGATAGCTGAGGGCTTAATTTACTGATGCATTTTTTGCTCTTATCAGAAAAAAAACCCCATGTTGACTGGCAGCACGCTGGAAATCTAGAAGGGATTCAATGGCCTCTAAAGGAAATACAGTTTTAAATCCTGCCCTGGCTCCCTCTGAAACCTGCAGTGACTTTACTTTGAACTGCAAGGGAGTGATATCGGTTCTCAGCTGATGTCACAGTGCCAATAAACACGTTCCATTTGGAGGAAGGGAAAGAAAGCCTGTCTTGACACTGCGAGACCTGTGTCTGCTCAACCAGACAAAGAGAAAATATTGGCTTCTGAGGATCCATCCTTTCATTGCAGTTCTTCAAAGAACTGTAGATCTGAGATGCCCTTCATGAGTTTGCTTATATCATGAGCAAGGAAACAGTGGAAGAGCCATGCTTGTTTTTTCCCACTCTGAAGCCAAGAAAAAAAATGTTTGAAGAAAAACTGATGGTATTTTTCTAAAGAGGTTACTATTTTTCTTCCCTTTCCTGCTGCAGCTTCTGTTCTGTTTCATTGCTCTCTTTCCATGGTAGGAGAGCAGGTGCAAGGCAGACGCTTTGGCAGTAGAGATGTTCTAGTACTATAATTATAATCAACATTTCTGTATAAAATACCCAAGGGTTTCTGCATGCAAAACACATATAGGAAGTTTCACGTGGAGTTTTCAGTTGCTTGCTCTTAGTCATAAGTGCTAATATGTTTAATCTTCTGGAAAATTCCATTTTTTGAGGGAGTGGGTCGGGGGTGGTGGGTCGGGGGTGAGATGAGAGGTAATGTCTCTGGAAAGTACTGGCTTGACCAGGCTTAATCCTCCCTTGCATTCAAGATGCCCTTGGTATAGTGGAATGAGAGGAAGCATTATGAATACTCTGCAAAAGCTTGGATTTATGAATGGCCTCAGCCTCCCCAGCACACCCTTAGGTACATATGTAAGGCTGACAGTGGAGAAGGATCAGAGGCATGAGCAGCACTAGGCTTTGTCATTTTTATGGGCTTTACATGGGCATGGGATTCCCTATCACAGGCCAAGTAGCAGGACAAATCTGGAATGGAACTCAGGACCAGAAAGCAGTGGCAGCGTAAGCTTTCTGGGACTACTCCCTGGAGGAGGCGGACATGGAGTTTGTGTCCTCCGCTGTGCTATGCATGCAAACCACAGTGACAGTTGGGGTAATGCTTTTCTGAGGTAGACACAAGAAATTAGCTTGGCTTAACAGCACACCTCAGTAAGCACTGGAACGAAGGATATAATTTTCAATAAATCATTTATTTCAAAAGGTTTGTCTTTGTGTGTGCAAATGTGCATGTTTCTTTATTTCTGTAATATAACTGTGTACAGGCTGAGAAATACTTGAATTTTGTATGTTTATTTTAAAACTTACATCTCCATTTTTAATAAATTATGCACAAACTTGTTTTGTAGTTCCTTCTAACCAAACTGTTCTGTATCAATGAAGTCCAGCAAGATGGACAGACTCACCACAGCTCTCTGCTCTCTTGTTGAACTGGACTGCTATGATTAAGTGTCCCATGAGGACATTACTCACATTCCTGTTTATCAGTTAAGATTTCTATTTCCCAGACTTCTCAAGTATTGTGTTTAAGAGTCTATGTTTCCATAAATCAGAATTCCAGTAAATATAATATAGACAAATGTAGAATGTGTGAAAACTCCAGCTTTCAATGTAGAGGGGAAGGGGTCTGTTAGCATTCAGGGTTTAAAAAAAAAAAAAAAGACTGTAGGAGTGCTTTAAAATGGAGGATTGAGGACAAGGTGACAGATGTAGGAGAGCATGCCAGTTGGAGTGACTCATTATTGAAAGGGCAAAACTGAAAACACTCTGCGTGCCTGAGACAAGATGACAAAATCCAAACATCTTGTAGATGCCTACTAAGTAGGCTAGAAGATAATCAGTGTGATACTGTAATACAGTGGAGTTCAAATATATCTGAATAACAGAGAAGATTACACCATTAGAGGAGCAGTAGTGTTTGTTAAAAGAAAGAGGAGTTTCACAATGGTAAAAGAACGAATATGTGCTGTAAAATCAATGTGGGTTGAAATTTCCTAGCCGAGAGTTAAAAACCAGTTGTCCTGCAGTCAGAGGTCAGCCTGGCCTATCTAGAGGACAGCACACTCCATCCCGAGGCAGGGTGCAAAGCAGGGGGAACCAGCAACACTCTGCAAGTGCCTGTCCTCTGATGATGAGAAGTGTGGAAGTCTGCCTGGCAACCTCTGATAAAATGCTTACCTGTTTAATGGGTAAAGTTAAGCCTGATAAATACACCTGATGATCGAGGCTGTGCTTCTAGTGACTCACAAGGGTGGTGACAACGGCTGCAAAACACCCTCAGATTAAAGGCTGCAAGGGTCAGATAAGTGCAAGGGGAGACTTCAGCTGTCTGCAGGGGGATTAGGAAGAGTTCAGAGCACGCTATTATTCAGAGACAACAGTTTTAGATTGTTTCAGTTCTCGGCCCAACTAGTCAGATGATCTACAAGGAGAAAAGCCATTCTAGACTCAATCCTGAGCAGTTTGAAGGAGGTATTTCCACATATGACTGTGGAGGAATAATTTTGTATCCGTGACTCGAAGCTATTCAAATCCAGTATCCCTACAAAAATGGAAAAGGCACTAACATCCTGAGTTCAAGGGGTGCTGCTCACAAATGGTGAAGTTAGTAAAAAATAAATTACATGGGTTATAAAAAAATTAAGGTGAAGGTTTTATATGTGAGGGAGTAAGCATGGCTTGTAGAGATTGAAGTTACACTTCATCCATGTACTAAACATTGTTTAAGGTATAAGAAACTAATTAATTAAATTTAGAAACTCATTGCCACAGGGTGCCATAGAGACCAAAAGCATAGAGAAGTTTTAAAAACTATCAGACATAGATAAGGCAGATACATCCCAGCCTTCTCAGCATCCAGTGTCAGAGACTAAACTGGACAGGCACCCTGCCTATCTGGGAGTTGCTTTTCTTACAGTCTAACCAAAGTAATTTAAAAATTGGAGGAAAAAACAAGGTACTATTTTCTCCCCATCAGATAACAACTTTTAATTATTGCAAACTGGGTTGGATTCCAAGTGAAAATTTCAAGATGAACAGCTCCAGCTAAGTTATCATATCCCAGGGGTTCTGATTACTAAATGGAAAATAAACATGAATACCAAGTCTTTCTTAACTGAATGAAGCACAGCAGTTCTCTATCTGGTTATTTTAATGAAGATAAGCATCTTTAATTCATATGCAATATATCTCTTTCAATGTGCAATTCAATTATTTCCACTTCCACATTCTTCTTTTATAGTGAGAATTTGGCAAGAAAAACTGTTAATAGAATAGGGTCATTTTCAGACTGATGCTTCCCCTTGTCACAGTTGGTTACTTGAAAAACACAGAAAATGGGATTGTACTTATCTGCCTTTTTCTGGTGGCTCGGTATGTTCTGTGACTTGTCTTGAGACACCATGGCCAAGAACGATAAATTTAATTAAGCTCTTTAAGAAACAGTGTTCTGACTCAGTAAACATTAACACTTCCCCTTACACCTGAGCAAATACAAAGATCTGGTCTCAGCTTGGGAATAGTTCAGAGTGCTAATACAAACAACACAACTTCAGCTATTTTTACATATGATTCTGAAAGGTTTTCTAGCATATGTTGATCACACTTCTCACTTAGGAAGGTAACTTTACTCTGTTACTCTGTGTCTTATGAGTGGAACCTTTTGTGTGAATACGGGAAATGATTTCTTTAGGATAAGGAAGGGGGGGGATCTGCACTGAGAAGCCTCTAGATAATCCTCCCATAGCTAAAAAAAGGGGAAAAAAGGTGAATAAAACTCAACCGCCCAAATAACTAGAACTTATATCTGCAGTTATTCTCCACTGACAAGAAGGTCAGATTTTTACAGCCCCCCTGCCAGGCTGGAGGGGCTAGAGTTACTTTTTTTTCAAGTTTGTATCCACTTAATTTACATCTTACACAAATATGTAAAAGTCACATGTAAGCAGACGTATGCATAGTTATACGTGAGTTTATATATTGATCAATAAGGGCCAATGCTGGCACACCAGCATTGACTGCATCTCTGTGCCAAATCAGCCACTTGCTCACTCTGCTCCAGCAGACCTTTCTTTCCATCTGAGAGGCTGGGTAACGCTCCACTCTTCAGAATTCCCTTCGTGTTGTGCTTTTAACTGCTGATTGGTGTTTGAGGTGGGCAGGTGGGGATGCACAGGAACAGTATAGGAATTGTCCGTCCTCATGCTGTTGAAAAGCCATATGATCTCACAGGTTTAATGCTCCTGGGTCTCTTGGGGAAGAAGGGCTGTGCTCACGGCGTACTCGGAGAGGAACAGCATCGCATACGTTAACTCATTCACAAGAAGAGGATTTGGGAGCAACAATGTGGTAAAGTGGTGAAGTGGCAGCACAGCTGAGGTCCTGCAGGCCTGTGAGATGCTTCCCTAGGGGTTTTAGGGAAGGCATCTTTGGAGCACTGTGGGAATGAGTGCATTGCACAGTGGCTCAGCGATGCATCAGAAATGCAGTAATTTTCGTTTTTTAATTAAGCCATGTTTAAACTCAGCAGTGCAAATACGGTAAAATGGGATTTTTGTTGTTGCTTCTTATGCCTTTTATTACAATGGAGAAAGAGAAAGCTCAAGAGGTTTCTAAATTGTCAGTATTTTTGTAAAAGGAAACAAAAGCACTTGCATCTATTTGCACTGGAAGACACACAGCCTTGGCCTCGTTACTTGCCTTGATACTTTTTATTATTTCTATTTCGTCTAAACTGACGCCAAAAAATGCAGATTCACCTGTTGAGCTTTTCTATTTGTCATTTTGTGTTCTACTGCTAGGTGACAAATTTCCTTTTGCAAAATCTGAGAACAGGGAAATGCTTACATCCAAGATTATTTTTAATTTTAAATACATGATAGGACTTACAATTTAAATAAGTCTTTGAAGTTTTATGAGCACTGAAGGCTCATATTGAATTGACCCAATTGATGTTCCATTCGGTCATCAAATTATCCAGTCCTTACCCTTTTCCTGACTCTAAGTTTGTTTAAAAATACACACGTTTAGCAATCAGCCTTTTTGGCCTATGTGAATTTTGTGTCTTTTAGGTTCTGTGGGAAAGAGCCAACTAGTTTAAAGGATCCCTATTATTTCACTATCTTTGTTTGCAACTGTGTTTTATTTCCTCTTCAGAGCTCCACTCTCATTCATCTTGTTTCTTTTGTTCCATTTTATTATCAGGCTGTTGTCTAAGAGAACATGAGCAAAACACTGAACACCCCTTTGTTAGTTAGTTGTCCTTATCGTTATCATCAGGATCAGTTCCCTTTACATTTTCACATCTGACCAGCCTTCCTGAAACTCAAAATTATATTACAATTAGGAATGTTGTGGACGTAATGTGCGCAGGAACTTCCTATTCATATCCACAGAGTTATGTATCTTGAACTAAGCAGAAAAACAAATCACTGCATCTGGAGTGCTAAATTGAGGGATAAGGCAGCATAGACCATGATCTGCTGTGGGATATGTCCGTTTTATCTGTCGTATTTCTCAGCTGAAATGGGGTTATTGATCCTCATAAACCATATGGGAGATCTCAGCTGCACCAGGATATATCTGTTTGACTGTTATCTCAGGCTGAAAGAACTAAAACTTAGGTTTTCAACTACCCCAGAAAATGCCCTAATCAAGAAGCGACAGGCCATCCTGATGGGGGAGGGAGAATGTTTCTGAGTCCCTTGAGGACACTCTGTTGTACAGAAAAGTATTTCAGGATTCACTGGCCATAAGATAGTGGAAAGCATCTCCTGAATCTGGGGAGGTGAACAGGTCACAAGAAAACAATAGGAGCCCAAGCCCTCTCAGCACATCAGCTACATCAGCTGGGGAAATGGGTGTAAGGAGGAGGATGCATGGAAAAATACCTGGTGAGGGGCTAGGAGGCAAAGCAGCCAGACAGGGAGCAGAGGTGTTGAACTGGCAGGAGGAGGGCACAGCCATTGAGTGTGATTGCCTTAACACTGAAACCTCTCCCTGCAGTCCATGTGAGGAGGTTCCTGTCAGATGCATAACCGTAATTTATTGGCATGATTATCCTGATTATTAGCAACACCTATTGGCATCATTATCCTGGGAGTAGGAAAGTTGCACTATTCCAAAGATCCTCATTCACAGATTAGGTAGTGAAAATGTACTTTGTAACTCAAACGTATATGTCTTTTTTTTTCCTTTGCTTTCAAGAGTTCCTTGTGCAGAAGCATGTCCAACAATATCTTTTTTCCTCCCGGAGTTCCCATTTTAACTACACCTGTTGGCATTCTCTCAGTATAAGAATGACCTGCTTTTTCTCTAGAGATCAGCAGAGAAAGAAGCAGAAT